AGATATATGTTACAGTGTTGGGGCTCCTGAGTGGCACAGTCCTTTAAATGTCATATCTTTGTTTCAGTTCAGGTCGTCCTCTAAATGTCAGATCTTGGTTTCAGCTCAGGTCTTGATGTCGGGGTTGTGGGATTGAGCCCTGCATCGAGCTCTGTGTTCAGCACAGAGTCTGCTTAAGACTCTCTCCCCCTCTCTCTGCCCTCCTGTGAATGTGTGCATGCGTGGGTGTTCTCTCTCTCTCTCTCTAAGACAGATAAATAAATCTTTAAAAAAGTATGTTACAGTGTTATTAGTTATAATCACCATGCTCTACATTAGATCCCCAGACCTTGGAACTAGAAAATTATACCCTTCCGCAAAAGCTCCCTATTTTCCCCCACCCCAGCCCCTGATAGTCAAACTCTCTGTTTCCCTAAGTTTAGCCTTTTTTTTTCCTTAAGATTTATTTATTTATTTATTTTGGGGAGTGGGGGAGACAGATGGAGAGGGAGAGAGTTCTGAGCAGATTCTGCATGTTGAGCACAGAGCCTGATGCAGGGCCTGATCTCACGACTCTGAGATCACAACCTTAGCCAAAACCAAGAGTCAGATGCTTAACCAACTGCATCACCCAGGTGCCCCTAAGTTTGGCCTTTTTAAATTTCCCATATAAGTGGTATTATACAGTATTTGTCTTTTTCTAACTTACTTTACTTAGTATAATGCCCTCCTCAGGGTTAATCCAGGTTGTTGCAAATGGCAGATGTCTTTCTTTTTCTTGGCCAAATAATATTCCACTGTATGTATGTGTATACCACATCTTTAGCCATTCATCTGTTGGTAGACACGTAAGTAGTATCTTGGCTATTGTGAATAATGCTGCAGTGAACATGGAGGTTCACATATCTCTTTGAGAGAGTGATTTGGTTTCCTTTGGATAGATGCCCAGAAATATAATTGCTAGATCACATGATAGTTCTTTTTTAAATTTTTTGAGGAACCTCCATACTATTTTCCACAGTGGCTGTGCCAGTTTACATTCCACCAACAGTGCACGAGGTTTCCCTTTTCTCCACATCCTCGCCAACATTTGTTATCTCTTCTCTTGTTGATGATAGCCCTTCTGACAGGTGTGAGGTGAGAGCAGATCGTGGTTTTGATTTCCATTTCCCTGATGATGAGTGATGGTGAGCATCTTTTCATGTGTCTGTTGGCCATCTGGATGTCTTTGGAATTTATTGTCTTTACAGGGAAGTGTATTCTCACTTAAGTGTCAAGGCAAATGGTTTGACTGCCATCACAGGGATAGATAGCTTGGGTTTTGTGTTTTGGCCAGAATCATCAGTCTTCTCATAGGTGTGATTACTTTTCCAACTCAGTCTCCTCTTTGACAAGAACAGGAGTCTTCATTAAAACTACTCATCACAAATAGCAAAGAGTCTATCAGTCCCCCAAAGAGCAATTTGTAAAGAAAACCAATACCTACATAAAATGGAGTCTCTTAATAATCCATAAGAACATTAATCACTGTGTCATGTAAGTCTGATTTTATCCCCAGGCTTTATTAGAATGCCTCCTTCAACTTAACCGAAATCTTTCTCTTGGAGTCAGACCCCTTAAGGAACAGCGTCAGCACTTTACCACTAGGTTGGCTATTCGGGCCTTTTGGCCTCAGTTTTCTGTCCACTTAAAGCCAAGTGTCCTTATAGTGTTTCATAACTGCTTTTCATGGAACTGCTAGACAAGAAATTATTCTGGTAGCTGACTTCTATCACAGGTGTTTTGTTTTGTTTTTGTTTTTTTCCTGAAATAATCCCTCAGAGATTTCATGGAATTCCAAATCTTCTGTTTTAAGAAACCTTAAAGGTTCAAGCTCTGGCTTTGAGAGCTTAGAGAACTCTTCTTACTGTTGTGTTGTTCCTGATTGAGAGAGACTACAGTTTAAATGATTTTTCTGGAATCTGTGCCCTCTCTTCACAAATTCTAAAAAGGGTTTTCACCTGTTTTATTAAACTGCAAACACTTCCTCATCCCATGTGAATGATACCTTATTTTTTTTTTTAAAGATTTTATTTATTTAATTGACAGAGAGAGAGAGAGACAGAGAGAGAGGGAACACAAGCAGGGGGAGTGGAGAGGGAGAAGCAGGCTTCCCGCTGAGCAGGAAGCCCGATGCGGGGCTCGATCCCAGGACCCTGGGATCATGACCTGAGCCGAAGGCAGTCGCTTAACCAACTGAGCCACCCAGGTGCCCCTGAATGATACCTTATTGAGGTCTTGTGTATATTGAAATTTGAACATAAACAATTCCTTTGTAGCCACGGTCTCTGTAGCTAGTTCTGGTGTAGAAGTGAGAGTTATAAAAAGCTACTTTATTCAGGCTGGAAATTTTATCAAGCTCAGGACTTCATCAAGAACAAATCATTGTAGCCCATATCTAAACAGAGAATTTGACTTGCTTTTAAAATAAAAACGTAGGGCGCCTAGGTGGCTCAGATGGTTAAGCGTCTGCCTTCGGCTCAGGTCATGATCCCAGGGTCCTGGGATCGAGTCCCGCATCGGGCTCCCTGCTCCTTGGGAGCCGGCTTCTCCCTCTGCCTCTCTCTCTCTCTCTGTCTCTCATGAATAAATAAATAAAATCTAAAAATAAATAAATAAATAAATAAAAAATAAAAACGTAAAGTGTTTTCATGTGTGCTAGTATGTAACATTGTAGCTCTTTATATTGTATCTGTTTTTTCCCCTTTGTTTCCTGCATTGGTAAGAAAATTTTTTGACTTAACCTTGAAAATACTGGTTTCTAGAGCTTATGTAGACACTCCCTTTTGTTTCCAAAACTAGAATGGCATTTCTTTTTCTTCTCCAATTAGACTTTATAGTGTCTACACCTAAGAAAGAAAGAAAGAAAGAGCTAGATTCCTATATAGTCCCTTATATATGTAATATTCTTAGGCCTCTGCTGTCTTTGTGTTACTGAAAGTGACTACTATGTGCCTTTTATACTGAGAACAGGCAGCTCTTAGTAGAATAGTACAGTAGTGACTCTGGACAGCTCTTATTTATGTAGATATTTAAATAGTGTGACTTGATGATACTGATTTGCATTGAGTTCGGGAACTCTTCGGGAGTGAACCACGATCCAGGATCCAGGAACAAATGCTTTGGAGAGAAACCCCAGTGAGAGCAGTTGGCTTGGTCACTGAGCTGGGCTGGCTCAACTGTTGGTTTCTATCATGCTGTCAGATAGATTGCTATTGGCTGCTGGGAGAGAAAGAAAGTAGCATTTTGCTCTGAAATGGGCTAATTAGGAGAGAATACAAGCTCCCTCCTAGGGTTTCCATGGCCTGGCCACTGAGCAGGGGGACATCTTCAGAACCGCAGCTGGATGGGAGGGAGGGCCGCTGGGGTGTGGTGGGCGAAGATCCATGAGCTGGACTGAACTTCCCCTGTATTTTCAGTAAGAGTCCCCAGAGCATGTCGTGTAAGCTTATTCTCTTCATGACCTGAGATTTGTCTGTTTCTCCAGGCCTGGAATCAGGTTCTCTGCATCTGATCAAATCAGCAATTAGATACTCAAGAGTGACCCCCGCCCCAAATAAATAAATAAATAAATAAAATAACAACACTGATTGTTTAACAAGTGCATCAGAGCTGAGGCATCCAAATTGAGAGAGAGCCTGCCCCTTCCAAGTTGTCCCCTGGGAGGCTGTGTACTTCTTCCAACAACCCTACTATTGCTCAAAATGTTTTTGGCATTTTTCTTTGTCATATATTTAGAATCTATCACATAGGCTGTTTTGTTGACAGATCTTTATTTTTAGAGGGATGAAATAGCTAACTAAATATTTAGAAATAAACAAAAGTCATTCTGAGTCCTGCCTGGCAGATAGTATAGGTGAGTGACCAGGCAGGCAGTTCCATTTTGGGTTAAAAATGAGATCTGATAGGAGTGTCTGGCTGGCTCCGTTGGTAAAACATGTGACTCTCGATCTCAGCATTGTGAGTTCGAGCCCCACTTTGGGTGTAGAGTTTACTTCAAAAAAAAAAAATCTTTCAAAAAAATGAGATCTGATATTTTCATGCTGTCTATCTTTGGGATCTTAAAGCAGTTTTCAGAGAGGTATTTCAAAACTATTTTGAACAGGAGAAACATCATGGAAATAAGTTTCTGGATGTGGCTGCTTTGATGATACACTTATTCAAATGTATACATTCTGGTTGTGTATTTTGTAAAGTCTAACTATCCTCCAGTTTTAAGACTGTCAGATTTTTTCAAAATCACATGAATAGCCATATGAAGCTTATTATAGTCAGACTACGCAATAGAAATGAAACTGTTCAGAAAGAGCAAGCAAGCTACCAGATAGAATGGGTTATGGGGATAACTGTTAAAGTTGCTCTGTAAGTTAACCTTATATAGGCTCCCTATTCTTTTCGGTGAAAAGGGAATAGTAATAATCAAGTCACACTGTCCACATCATAGGATCGTTGTGTGGTTCTTAAGGAGGTATGGTATATGAAGCATGTATCATGGTACTTTGTGTGTAGTCATGTTCAATACATGTGAGCCATTTTGATCATGCCACTGTGACATGATAGCTTGTCTGGGAGAGAGGAAGACTGACAAATAAGGCATGGGGTGCTGCGTGGGAAAGAAGGAAAGTACTAATGGTAGAACAAGACTGGCCTCCTTCAGTGTTTAATGTTCTTCACACCAAACCTGTTTCTTCACACTCCAGTGACACATTAACCTAGATGCATATCAGGCTTGACATAAGCAGTATTTTAATTTTCAGCTGTCCCTGAAATTTTTGGCTCTTTATCGGGACTGTTCATATTCTGAACAACAAAAACCCCAACAAAACAACAAACCGATAACCTTGACATCCTCGAAAATATGGTGTTGAAGATTTGGCTCTCAAGTTGTGAAAAGAAGTTGTGTTATGTTCCCAGCTGACATGTTTTTTGTGCATTTAAAAACTGCAAATCTCACCACTCGCACTATGTTGCCTTTGAAACAGATGAAGATGAAGATGGTGACCGAATTACAGTGAGGAGTGATGAAGAAATGAAGGCCATGCTGTCCTATGTAAGTCTATCACAAATGAGGACTATTGTAATGTGTTAATGTAATCGTGGGCACTGTTTCTCGGCATGGTGAAGATATAAAAATAAATCACAGCTACCATAACATTCTTCTGTAGGATGCATAAGGGTTTCAAGGATTTCCTTATGTTAAAGTTAAGGGCGTTCTTTTCAAAAGACACTTACTGATCATATCATGAACATTAAGAATAATGCATCTTAATGACTTTTGCATTAGGTATGGTGCAGACTAAATGGACTATCAATTTCCTGTATTTTTTATGCAGTACTTAAAGTAACGGCTCATTAAAAATGAACCCCTGGGCTCTAAAAAATTTTTCAAAATCTACTTTCAACTGGAGATCTCTTTCACCCTTCCAAACAGACTATAGTTATAATGTAGCTGCAGGCTTAGTATGGATACACGATTTTAAAATGTACTCTCGTTATTTTATGCACAAACCACCCCCTTTTTTTCCACCCTGAAATGAACTACAGGGTTAACTGTTTCAGAGTGATTTGAATATATCCTGAAATGACTTTTCTTTTGTGTTTCAAATTTCAGTGGAAATTTGCCTTAGCCATTTATCTGGGACTGAAATAGATAAGCAAGATAAGACAAAGGGGTACCTATCTAAAACTTCAATACTCAGCCTGACAAATCCAACTATGATGAAGTGGGGTAACTTCCCTGAGCCCTGATTTGTGCTGTCCTCTCATTGAGTTTTATTTCCTCTTGTTCGTTTTATTTTCTTTTATCCGAGTTTGTAATCTGTTTACAAAACCTTTTCTAGGGGCTGGGTAGAGAGAGAGCACTGGACTCAGGTCTCTGACTCAGCTCTCCTCTGGCTCGCTGGCCTTAGGCAGATCACTTAACCTTTCTGTGCTATGGCTGCCTCATCTGTCCATTGTGGATAATAATACTCGTCCTTTCTACTGCACAGGGTCATTATAATGATCAATGGGATAATACATGTGAAAGCCCTTTGAGAAGTTAAAAGTTCTATACAAATGCAAAGTGGTATGATGGTGGAAATGATGTACTCAGGGCCCTTGCTGGTCCGAGTCGCCATTCGTAGCCAACACAACATCAGTAGGTTTCTGATGGACCTCAGCTTCAACCAGGATATTGTTTCATTGTAATGAAAACTGTGAAATATCTGTAAGGGTTTCCGCCAATAGTTTTAATTTAGGGTAGGAGGAAGGAGAACAAGAAAGATGGCATGATTAACAGAGCGTTGCATTCAGACCAGCACAGAGTAGGAAAAGTCAATTTCCCATTGACTTCCCATTAACTTATTTGAGAGTCTTTGTGCACTGAGAATTTAGAGCAGGGCTCATCAGTACCTTGAAGGGCAGAGGAGGATTGTCTGCTGAAAGGTCTAGCACTAGTATTGATAGATTGCCTAACTCTCCTGGGAGTGTGACATGCTTATTTTTAGAAAACACACACACACACACACACACAGATGGATTCTAGTTTTTCAACATACCTCCACTGCAGAGAGTACATTACTGACATCACTGTACTTTTATTATGTCTCTGACATAGCCACACATAAAGGTGTGCTTTCAAAAACGTGCTTTTGGGAAGTTCTGACAAATTATGCTTTTTGAGAAATGTTAATGCACGTCATAGTGATAATAATCATTCCCGTTTCTAAGTGCCTACTATATATATACCAGATGCGAAAGGTATTTAATTTTCTGTGGTTTTAATAATGACTCGGTGAGGTGGATTTTATCATCCCGATGTTTTAGATGTGGAAGCCATGGCCAAGAGATATGCCCGAGGTCTTAGGGCTAGCGTGAATGTGAGCGTGGAGTTGAAGTTCAGCCTCTCCTGGTGTGATAGCCGGTGCTATAAAAGCTGTTTTATGCTGTTTCTCTCCCATCTACCTCCTTGCACATTAGTATGGGGACTTGTCTATGTCATCACCATTAGTACATTCTGGATGATTTGTGTGTATGTAATACCTCAGTTGAGACATCTGTAGTATATATTCCCTATGATTTATGTTTATTTTCTCAAATGCAGTGTTTATTTTTGTGTTGTAGGAAAATATATTAAGAGTTACATAATTGTCTTTAAAACTTACAAGTTTCTGAGATTTCGATAGGACCACTTTTTAGTCTGAAAAGAAATCTTCTAGCTCATTGATCCCCAAATATGTGGCTTTCATGCATTAATCAATTTTCACTTTTAGATTGGAGGACATAGGCATTGTAACATTTTATTTTGCCAAATAGACACGTTAATAAAATAAATAAATAATAAAAATTACCTACTGTTAACCATTATTTTACTAACAAAGAAAAACAGTGAGAGTCATTTAAAGATTAAAAATGATGGGCTGTACATAATCTCAAAAGGAAAGGTGACCATTAGAGTGAGTAGACTTAGGAGTACCTGGCTGGCTCTCGGTCAGTGGAGTGTGCGACTCTTGATCTCAGGGTAGTGGGTTTGAGCCCCACGTTGGGGGTGAAAACTACTTAAAAATTAAAAAAAATGAAGTGAGTAAAGTTAGTTTTATGTAAGTAAAACTCACTACATTCTTTTCCTCTCTCATTTTAAAAAATTGAAGTACAGTCAACATATTAGTTTCAGGTGTACCACATAGTGAATTGATATTCTTTTCTTTTACCAATTTGCAGTGGATGGTGAAGCCTTTTTTATGAATTGGCAGTGGTCTATACATTGTGGTCTGATCAGGTCCAGGCTTTCTCATTAATTCACTTAAATATTTATAGATGGGAACCTGAAATCCCCAAGAATTTCTAACTTAACGTTCCACTCTTCTGATTCTGAATGTTTGAGCAAAATCTTTTTAAATGAAAGTATCTCGGAGAGAGATAACAAGCTTTAAGTCATTTAAAGCCTAAATGGATTTCTTTTTCCTCTTATCTGTTGAGATAGCCCTACCATCATATACCCGTTGTTTATGTAGAGTCAGGCTCTGAATAAACATTTAGAAAGTAAAGAGTAGGGGAATCTCTTCCTCAAAAAGCACACATAAAATTGGTTGGCTGTCATTTTGATCTGTCTTGGCTCTTTTTTTAAAAACTTTATTTTATTTTATTTGAGAGAGAGCATGAGCGGGGTTGGGGGGAGGGGCAAAGGGAGGAGAAGAAGCAGGTTCCCCACTAAGCAGGGAGCCCCCCCCCAAGTGGGGCTCGATCCCTGGACCCTGAGATCATGACCTGAGCCGAAGGCAGACGCTTAACCAATTGAGCTACCCAGGCACCCCTGATCTGTCTTGGTTCTTATGATTAAAATTCCTCTGTGTTCCAGTTTTGCCATGAAAAGAACCATTTGGACCTAATCTCACATAGATTTTGGTTGATAGCCTTTAGTTGCTGATCTATTATGAACAAGCTGCATGGTCTTTATTTTTTAGGTTCATTTTGACTGAAAACTTTTTGAATCCAGGATCTGGGTGGTAGGGTGGGGAAGATACTGAGATACCAAGATACTGACAGGTAACCCTGTATTTACGGTAAAAAAGCATCTTAGTTTCTCATGTCAAATTTAATAAATTTGCAGTCGCCTTGTTATTTCTTTAGAAACCTTATGGGGAAAGCAAAACTAGAGACACTTTTACTGGAAATCCCTTAATCATTCTTTTCCATTGATTACAAAGGTTAAATGAATAAACAGCCTGGATCTCTGCATAAAATTAAGAAGAAAATATGCAACGTCTGAGTTGCAACTTGCAGAATTACTTTTTTCCCCTTTGAACGCAAGCATTTTCTGGCTTTGGGCCAACAGAAACATAAGTTTTTATCAGTAATTTAAATAGATTTTCGTATTAGACCTGAAAATGTTGCCTTTTTAATTGAAAACTTATCAATTATTTAAATTGCTAGCAGCCTTAGGCTGTTAATTTTATGTGTGCCATAATAATGGCATACACTGGTTTTTGATACATGTGACATGTGGATATCGCGTTGTAGTAAGGATTTGTCGTGACAATAAGTTGTCGTGTGCTGTTAAATAATAACCAACATATTAAACTGAAGTCTGTTGTCACACATTAGTACCGTTTTATGTAAGTTATTTAGAAGTTGTATTCTTTTCTTCATTAGATATATTTTTAAGAGATAATGAGAAGAAAACAAAGCTATAATAAATTGTCTTTTAAGAAAATGTAAAGTAATTTGGTCTCCAAGGAGATATTTAATGTATTGAGAGAATCCAGCAGCCAAGTGTTATTACAGCACCATTGTGATCGCTCTCTGCGTTTTGTTATGAGTTTGGGTTAATCAACAATCTGTTTTTATAGCGTAGTTTCTTGTAAGTTATGTGGTTAGAATATTCCACTTCTGGGATCATGGCTTTTCCTCTGACACTATTGTATCTTTTTAATTCCTCCATAAAGTATTTTTTTAATTAGAATCTGAAACGCTTTATTAGGAAAAAAAAAAAAGTACACCCAACCTACATATTCTGAAAACTAAATACCTGATCATTGCTAATTATTTAAAGGACCCTATTAAATAGTCCCTTAATATAGTTTACATTTCTGTTGTTGATCTTGTTTCCCCCTCTCATTTTCTGGGAAGATTAAAGATGGTGTGTTGTTTTTCTCCTTCTGTCTTTTTGTATTCGTTGTCTGGCAGGGCTGGCTTCATTTCCTTTCAGCACCAAACAACAGGGCTGGGCCTTGTTTATTGATTAATCATAAGCTTTATCTATCACTGAGACCCAGTTATAGGAGGGGTTATGTTAATGTTAACCTCGGCTTTTGGGTGACCTTTCATTAAGAAACTCAGCAGTACATCTTGCTTTTGTAAATGGATTCATATTTGTTTCTGCTAAATCCCATGTCTAGTACAGGATTTATTACACCTGGTTCTCTCAATCCTAAGAGGCTTGTGTGAGTGGAACACAGTATTAACAAGAATAATTTTCTTCATTTTGCCCATTCTCTGCCTTTATACCATTTTTCCACGTTGCCAGAAGAGTATGGGATGATTTTAACTGTAATGCCTCCCATTATGGCA